GCAAAAATGTGCCAAAATTGTAAGAAACGATACACCAGGTGAAAGTGGCCATTTGCAACAAAGTGGGTTTTTGTAACTATTTTGACCTGCAAGAAATACAAGGCGCAAGAAACTAAATACGACCTACCGCGATAGTTCATACGGCGCGTAGCTGGATGGCGCATATTTCTTGCACTTTCTCCCAGTTTCTTGCACCTCGCATTTCTCGGTGCAAGAAATATAGCAAACCCTCAATAAACGAAACCCTGCAGCCTTTTGCATGAACCCTCCATATTGCGGAGGATGTGTACCCATCTAATTTTTTCCTCCTCTTGTGCGTAGCTCACTTCCCACGGGGCGACGGAAGAAGAGGTGCGATAAGCGCTTTTATAGGAAGTACGTAGTAGAAGGGTCTCCTGCCCTCACGACGATCAAACCAGACCGTGAATTGCAAAGAAGAAGAAGAAGCGATGCAAAAGAGGAGATCACTCCCGAATGTGACGTTGTGCAGTCTTTAAACCAATTTTATTTTGCAGCCCGGATGGAATCTTGCTCTCAGAATCTTAGCAAGTGACTGACTGAGCAGTGAAAGTAGGCCGAATACACAGAGAAAGGATTTGCTCCTCTTCATCTTCATCCTCGCACATCACTCTTTTTCTATTTGCCGATACTTACTCGCACACATTACACTTCTTCTTCCTCTCCCATTACTGCCTCGCATTATGAGTGTACTGCTGGGAGCAAAAAGACCAAGAAAATATCATAATATCGTCTTAAGAGGGGAAACGGAAACGGAGAGAAGGATCGATTTTTTCCCATGTTTATTTATCCCAGTTAGATATTTATTTTTTTGATGGGTGTGTAAATATCGGGCAATTTTCGAAAATAATTTATCCAGGCGGTAGATAAGTAGCGTCAGATAGATAAATCAGCAGATTGGGCAATCAGACAGAATCGGATCGTCTCACGTTGTCCCAACAATGCACGTTTTATTTTGAATGCAATTCGATCAAAGAGGAGGAGGAAGTCTCATCTGATTAGATCCAAACTGATATTGTGCATGAAGCGTGGTTCTCAAGTTGTCGAAACCCATCACATTAACCTTCATAACGAGATCGAGAAGAAGGGAAAGTGAGAAGAAAAACCGACCAATATTGCGTAATACTCGTTACCTATGTATGTAGAGGGGCGTCAGTGTTTCGTTTTGGGAAAAAGTAACCACATGCAAGAAATGACAGGAATAAAGTGTTTTTTTTCAGGGATTTTGACCTGCAAGAAATGCACGGAGCTAGAAACTACGCCCCGCAGTTCATACGACGCTTGGCTAGATGGCGCATATTTCTTGCACTTTTTTACACTTTCTTGCAGTTTCGTGCAGTTTTTTGCACTTTCTTACAATTTTTGGAACATTCTTTCGGCTTCTTGCACTTTCTTCCAGTTTCTTGCACCTCGAATTTCTTGCGTTTCTTACTTTTCAGTGCAAGAAATGCATGTAGCAAACCCGCCAGAAACGAAGCACTGATCGGCGTCATTCCCTTGCACCCAGCTTGTCTCTACATCTCATCACATTATCAAGGGCGAGATGCGAATTGTGATCGGTGCAGATCAGAGGAAACCTTTCTCAAAGGTCTTTCTCCCTCCCTCCTCCGACGTAACGTAATGCAGCCAAAGCATTCATAAAACGTGATGAGGAGTCGTAATGCCCAATGTCAATTTAAAGTGAAAAAGCTGACACCCTTCTTTCTTCTTTAGAGAGCGGATGAGAACTCATCTTGTTTTCCATTTCCGACTTGGCTTCCCGCCGACGACTGCCCTCCGACCACTTTCACTTTTGTAGTATTTATTGCATTTCTTCCGCCTGAAAAGAAAGCACATTTACCAAATTAGGGGGACATGACGAATCGTAATTCACCACTCCTCCGCCTCCGTCTGGTATTATTATTATTCATCCATTCATTCATTGAGAAAGTGGTGGTGGTTGTCTAAAAAACAGTGATAGTGGAAGTTGGGGGGGCATTATCATTGAGAGATTGGAGAAGGAGGGTCTTATCAACACGATTTTCCTGAATTTCTGGGGGACAATGTCCCTCTGTCCTCCTGATTCCGCCGCAAATGCTAAAAAATTGGAAATCATGGACACGACGTTACTCGTGGGACAAAGAAATCTCAAGCAGTATGGATGGCGTCCCTCCTACTCATTCAGATCTTGTTCTTGTTCTTGCACAGGGTTTGGCCCAGTCACATTAATTAGTTTAAGTATTTCTCTCGTTCTCTTTCGGACCCTCTTGGAAAAAATATTGTGATTTTGACTCAAGTGGTTTTTTGGTTTGCTTTCTTCTCGAGAAAGTAATTTATTATTTTGCTCCTGATATTGCCCACTAACCAACCAACAAAGCTTACTTTCTGGCTTTGAAGTTTTTCTCTTTCGGTGAAAGCGTCGTCCTCGTCGTTGATTCAAATTTCGAGGAGATACGCATTTTCATTCCGTCACTTACACAATTCGTCGAGACTTCTTGAGAAAGTGGGCACAATTGCGGAACTGACATTTCCACCCTTTGTTCCGTCATACTTGCTTAAATTTTGTGCATATTTATCGTCAAGAATATTCCGGAGAAATTGAATCTTACAAATATCAAATTACGTTTCCATCTAATTTCAAGTGAGAGAAGTTAATTAAGAAGATAAAAACGAAGGCAAAAACCCATGTGACACTTTGAGCGACATATTTCCCTTTGAATTCTGTTTCATATTCAAAATTACGAAATTTCTATCTAGAGGAACGCTGATTTCATTTGTGTCGCTGTGCTCTCTTAGAAATCCAGAATTAAAATAATACCAAGTGGTGTTAATCCCATGACTCTACCAATATGGCATTGATACTAATACCGTGTAGTAATAGCTCATTACTAAAATTTTACTATGTCGGTAGCAAATTTTTACGGTCCGGTACAATATTAATACCAATCGGTCGCAACTTTAATATCGAGAAATAATCACATGCCTGCCTGTACCAGATTTCTAAGAGTGTATATACCCACATATTTCCACAATGTCCCATTTATTTTCCGGCGCTTGATCCACTTTAATTTAATTTAAGTAATTTGACTAGCTTATGAAACTAAATTAAATTTTCGCTACATTCTCAATCAACATTAATTGCATAAAAGTCAGTCATAAACATGATTAAGTCTCCGAGTCTCCGCGCGTGTGTCTGTTCATATTTATTTATTCGGAAACTAAATATCATCTCCTTGTTCTCTTTTTAATAAGCAAATAGACTTTCTCCTTCCCACGCACGTAAATAACTTTGGATGCGAGGAAGAAAAAGAAAGGCGGCTGAATTATTTGGTCGCCGACCTTGGCGTTCAATTAGGCTTTATTACGACACGCTGTAAACAATTAATGGCCACGGCTCGGTGGTCGTGTTACGTGTTTGAGAACTTTTATCTAATAAAAAGTAATAATTCTAATTGCAGAACCAAGAATAAAATACGCGGGGCATGGACGAGAGGACGGACGACATAGAAGAAGATGCCCATCATCTATGATGATGATAATTTCCATTTCAAGGGTGGAGGATTCGTTCCTGCTGCTGCTGCTGTCCTGTAATTTTCCGCGTGCCCCAACAACTCCGGAGTCCTCTCGTTAATATTCAAATGTAATCTATGTATAGGAAGGACGGGAAAGAAGAAGGGCAACATCTTCTTTCTGGCAGAAGAGATAGTAGGGCGACTGTTTCGTTTCGAGCGGGTTTGTCACATTTCTTGCACTGAAAAGCTAGAAATGCAAGAAACTGAAGGAAAGTGCAGGAAATGCGCGCCATCTACCCACGCGCTGTATGAACTATAGCAGCGAGAAGTAGTGTCTTGCGCCTTGCATTTCTTGCTGGTCAAAATTAGTGAAAACACCAGTGTTTAGTTTCTTGTGAATTTGCTAAAATTCTTGCACCTCGAATCAAATAATGCAAGAAATGCGAGGTGCAAGAAACTGCAAAAAAGTGCAAAAAATATGCGTCATCTAGCCACGCGCCTTATGAAATATATTGGCGGGGTGAAGCTTCTGGCGTCTTGTAATTATTGCAGGTCAAAATAAGGAGCCTCAAGAAAGCACTTTCTCCCTGTTATTTCTTGCACGTAGCCACTTCTACCCGAAACACTGGACATTCAGCCTCTTCTGGGTGGGTGAATGTAGGGGGAAGCAGGCTAATAACTAACCCAAACCCTACGCTACGCTACGAGAGAATACGACTCCACGGGATGAAGTATCCAATTAAAATGAAAGTTTAAGAGTTATGACGGGAACATGGGAAAGTTGGCTGCACGAGAGGGAGACATAAATGAGTGGGGACACTCTCGTACTCTACTCTTGGCAAAACTTGACTTAATTTTAATTTCCGCAAACTTGGATAAAATTCACCCAACAGGATTGGATCAGCGGATCAAAATGTTTGTAATTTCGACCAGATTGTAAATAATCAAAGTAAGAAGTTTTTACCAGCACGAGGGGATTATTACTAATCTTAAATTCCCCTGTATACATACACACTTACAACTAAACTAAAAGCGCATACAAATAACGTCTCATGTGAACAATGGATCCGAATCTCGCTTTCACTTTCACTTTCCCCTCGTCGTTCCGTCCAGGGACAAAGAGGGGAAGGGATTCTCTAGGCTGAGAATAATAAAAAAGACAGTTGCAAAAATATACGACCTAATTATGCTGCCCACATATTGCATTACACGCGTGCTTAGATGCCGGTCGGGCTTTCTCTCTCTTTTGAAATATGGGCTTTCCCTCAACAAAAACCGTGTATGTATGGAGATAAGATCGCCCAGTGCAAGAATCCTGCCCCTCTTTCTTCCCCTCGCCAGTCAGTAGTTGTGTAAGTGAAAGCGGAATTTTGAATTAGACCAGATTCCCCAAGAATTATGTTCATATTATTCATGCATTATTATGGGCTCGCTACATACACACTATTTATTCCATCCAAGCTAAAGTTGTTGCTCAAGAGGAAAACTTACTTTTCAACGAAGAGGAATTTATCTCCCATCATTTCATAGCACGTTCCTTTCCCTTCGATGGATTTGCTGTCAATCAGGACAGGATTTGGGATCCCGGATTGGAACCATTTTCCACTCCTGAAATTTTGTTTACGCACAAAAATCTTTAGGAAAAGGTGGATCACAATTTTTGGGGAAAGTTTCTGACTTTTTTTTTTACTACTCACCATGCATCGGGGAGACGGCAGTTCACTGAAATGTGAAAATTCAGAATTATTAATACATACGTTTACTTAAAAAGGTGGGTGAAAGTCGGGTGGACTTTCGTCGACGACTAGATTATTATTTATTGGAGGAATTTATCATGGAGAAAACATTAATAACCGACATCAATCTGCCCATCGGGCAATTCAGGATGTAAAAATGCTTTCTACTTTCCCATTTTATTACAGTTCACTCCAGGGGAGCTGTATTAAATCCTTCAAAAAGTTGAGATATAAAACTTCACGGAAAAGATAAGCCGTTTCTACTCGTTGGTGGGCATTACTTTTACTTACGGACTGGACCACATTTCAGGACTTGTCTGTGCATTGGTGACTATGTAAAAGATTGTATCGGCAAAGTGAAAGTAGGTGGCGGACGGGGAATTAATGTGGGTTTGGTGGGTGGCAGTGTTTTTGTGGGTGGCGAAAAAAAAGTTGCGAGTTTAGTGCACCATTCGGACCTTGCAGAGTGCTTGATGATACAATGGGTGGTACAGGGTTTCGCCTTGGATGTTCAAAACTGCTTTTGGAAGCTGTCCGGTACAAAAGTATGTAAAACTGTCCAAAATTTTAGTTAGTGTTTCGTTTTGGACGTCTAAAACTACTTTGGGTCCACAACTGTATAGAAAATTCTTGGATGTTCAAAATGTCCAAAAAACGTTCAAAGCTTGGAAATGTTACAAATTCGTTATTAATGACTTGTGTTGCAAATTTATGTATGCATAGATGTGTAATCTCCCATTAATTTTGAACATTATAGTTGGTGTGTAATGCCACGAAATTTAGAAAAACTTTTGTTTTAACATGCTGTCTTATGAGAAATTAAGAAATTTTCTAAACCACGTCGTATTACACAGCAAAATGCTCGAAATTAATGGATTACATATACGTAACGGATTATCCAAAGATTCAGGCTTAAAGAACTTTTAACATTTTGTCCCATTTTAGGTTTTGGATACTTTTAGACAATTTGGACATCGATCCAAAACTGGTTTTGGACACCCTGTTGCAAACAATGGTTAAAACCACCACGAAACCCTGGCTGTCCAAAACGACACCAACTTTTACTTTTGAAGGCGTCCCGTAATTTCAAATATCATCCCCGAAACGGCAAAATTTCCACAAATCTCTCATAAAAAATCACCAGTAGGTACGTAGCCGCTTCTTTAAGTGGTTTGTAGTTGAGAGAAGAATGGGATAAGTCGCCAGTATATTGAGAAACGCATGCAGATTTTATATTTATGCCACAAAAGCATTAGTCGGATGGCCATTAGGGTCCAAAAAAAGTTTAATCATTTCTGCAATATGACTCTTCTTAAGGATTACACTTTTAGCAAAAATCGCATAAAGTTGAGAGTAAAGTGAAACATTAGGCAATCTCGGGCTACCATCGGTCGTCGGTAGCTGGAAAACCACCACAAAATCCGCTCCTCCTTACACAAGAGCCTCTTAAATCTGGAGGGTATGCGTGTAAGCCTCGTTGAATCTTAAGCAGCAGAACATCATTCCTCTTGTACTTTGAGTACCACTTGGTCACTTGGATCATCATCATCGCATGGGACACCACCACCCACTCGAGATGGTCATAAGCAGCGGCCGCGGAAGCGTAGGTGGGGACAAAGGGACAATCGGTTATTCGATGTCCCCATCGTCTGCCCATGTTATACAAACCCCTCCCTCCCCCTGTCCAACAATATTAATGTCCCCAGATGTCCCCACGGCTTCCGCGGCCACTGGTCATAAGTAAGAAGACTACGCGCTTTTCGAATCACTTGAATAAAACAAAATCACCCACCAAGAAAGTCATCATTCTTAAAGAAAGTTACGATTTAAATAGGTGTGTTAGCAAATATTTTGAAATGGGATTCTCTCTTCTCTTCAGAATTGCTTATAGTTTCAAGAAATGCTGCACAATTTCGAGCAACAGAACAGACATCAGCTTGGGAGGAGTAATCCCCTAATCTTTATTGAGGATTTAAGTTACGAAATTCCAAACGTAGTGTAAGCCGTGCCAGTCGAGTCGAATTTAGGCAAGGCAATGGTACACGAACGTCGCATCGCTGAGATTTACTCCGTCTGTTTTGCTTGGCTGCCAGTCCGTGTTTAAGTTTCCGAGCTGTTTCAAAGAGTCATTTGGTAAGTAAGTGATGTCCATTTGGGGTGGGTCGTGATGGTTTCTTTCGAAAGAACGGCGTCATCACTGATTGAAGATTTACTACTAATGCGACTTAATTCTGGGAGAAACTTGAACAAAAAATTAAGACGGGATGAAAACAGAGACAGTAAACAAAAAATGTGGAGAAATTCTTAAATTCAAGTCGCAATGGAGGTCTCCCAGCGTATGGTCTTAGATATTGACCAGACTAGTTTGAATTGATCACAAATTTAATTAATATGAAATTTACAACCTATGGGCACATTTTGCAAAGATATTTGCATCCGAAGAGGAGAAGTCGTGTGCTAAAGTTGACAGATTTTGCACTTTCCAAATTTACAGCACATTTTCTCCTCTTCGGATGTAAATATCTCTGCTAAACGTGACCATTAGGAGATCATGTCATTTGCATATTTCATAATAATTAAACTTGAGATCGATTGACACTAATTTGCTCAAAATCGGAGAGCATACGCTGGGAGACCTCCATTGTAAGTTTTAGAGCCATCTTATTTACGAGAGGACAGACACAGAACAAACTCATATTTTACTAAACTAAAATATGTAACGCATTCCGACACGGCTTGACTAGTTTCAAGCAAAATTTCTCAAGGTTTAGACGACTCAACTCGCACTTTCTCTAATAAGAGAAATACTTTTCCCATTTTTCATCATCAAATGAGACTAAAAATGTGCACCGTACTTATTACGACGTATGTATACCAACTATGCATCCTCTTACTTTCGAGCAAAAACAAACGCTCAAGATTATCAAGACGATATCTTCCTCCACCTCTCTCGAGGTGAAAGTAAGTGTGAAATGTGTGCGAAATTTTGACCCAACTAAAAACTTGTGATCTCTCCCACACTTATTTCAGTCTGGGATCGATCGAACTTTCTCCACCAGAAAACAAGCTGCTTGCGACCAGTGGCCGCGGAAGCATCGAAACAATGTCCCCACGGTTATTCGATGTCCCCATCATCGCCCCATGTTATACAAACCCCTTCCTCCCCTATCCAACAATGCTAATATCCCTCGATGTCCCCACAGCTTCCGCGGCCACTACTTTCGACTGGTTTGTTTGTTGCTGGTGCGAAAAGACGAAGTAGAAAGGAAGACCAGACCACCACAGACACCACCACCACGATCAAATATATGTAATGCATATTTGATTTATGGCTGTGGGAAGGACTCGTTCGTAAATATAAATCCGCCACCGAGTGAGGATTGGAGGCTGCATGTGGAATAACTCGAAACGAAATTTGTAGCTGGGACGATCAAACAGCGAGAAGCAAGCCGCAAGAAAGAATACTGATAATGTGGGAATGAACGAGTGTGTATGTGTGTAAAGGAAATAACAAAACAGACGAGGAGAAAGTCGACACAGATGAAATCAGCATGTTGTGGATACATAGATTTGCCCCATTTTATCGCTCGAGCCACATATGCTCAAAGTCCGGTGCGATCTGGATTGGATTCTGTGTTCTATTTATTTCGCAACTCCTCTCTTGTTCCATCCATTGTTTCTTTCGTCTCATATTTGAATCTGACCATAAGTAAATATGTATGTACATATCATGAAAAATGGTGGGTGTCCAGTGAAAGTTGGGATTGTGCAGATCAGAACAGAACACAATGCAGAAATATATTTGGATCAGTGCATATGTACATAAACACGGAAAATATTGCGGGATTTTTGCCCCTTCACTCTAAAATATTGCGACATTTGGTCGATGCAAATCCGTGTCAAAATTCAAAACTTTTCGGATTTAAATGAAATATGTCTTAAATCCGGGCAGCTTTCAAACCGCTTTGTCCATGTCCACGGATTTTTATTTTGTCTACGACGCAAATTCCTCTCTCCAGCTGAGAAACGGTCCCCTAAAAGTATCGATGTGCCCCCAGTGCTCAAAACTCATCCTCGGATTAAAGGGTTACCATCTCTAAAATGAATATGGGTACATGCAAAGTGTAAAGTTTACACATAACTTTTTTTTAGATACACAATTGTATTTACTGCACACGATGACGTCTTCCAAACAAAAATGCAGCCTCCGATTCGACATACTTTTCCCGAATAGAACGTGGTTTACATTTTCTTTGGACAAGTTTTTTTCCATAAATCAGCATTCTTCAAACGTGGAACAGGGAGACAAATGGCGTCTCCTTATATTTTGTCAGGTCAGCGTGTATCCCGGATTACTCCAATTTTTGTTTGGTCCTCCTGTTTTATCAATTGGTGAAGTGGAGGTAAAGTGAAAGCCCCAAGAGCAGTTTGAGCAGTGGTGTTATTTATGGGTTGGACTTTTAAGGTGTCGTCGTCTCAATTGGGGTGAAACTTGGGAGCAATATGTAAAATTTTGCTTTATTTTCCCACGAAACTAAAACTTGTATTTATGATTTTCAGATGAAGGTAAGTAAATAATTGGGGTCTCATTTTGCCATAAATTGTGCCCTTAATTTTCGTACGACCTACACACATTTCCTTTTACAGGACACGTACAATTTTCCCAGTCAAAATCAGCCCCTCATTCTCTCAGACTTGTCAACCATTTTGCTAATCATGTTGTCAGTTGCAACGTATTATGAATGCTTGTTTTCGCGAAATAACAAACTTCTTACTTACTCACCAACTCAGGGTGGTACATACATAAATCCAATATAAATTATTCATATCGTACCACATACTCTCACAGGATTGACAGAAATAAATGGATTTCCCAAACTCAATCACACAAAGGAAACCATATTGGTTTCGCATAATGGAAACCTAAGCTAAATTTAACACGCGAAAATATAATGTCGCAAAATTGCGAAAACTGGAGAGATCATA